TGAATTTTAATTACATTGACTAAATGACAAAAGATTCAATAGAAGAGAAAATATGTGTGAAGTTGAACAAATCTGAGATAGTATTTAATTATGTAATAAAAATTGACACATCAGTATCAGATAAATTAAACTTTTGAAAGTAGATTTAACTGCAAGTGCAATTTATTGCGTATGAAAAGAATGTATTAGAAATTCCACAAAAGGCATAGCAATTTTGTATCAAGATGTCTTTAATCTTATTCATATTAATATTTTTTATTATACATTTAGGTGGTCTAATCACAATTTCAATCCATGTGGTTACTCTAATGTGCAACAATATGATTGGACATATATATTTAAGAAATAATGATGAAAGTGTAATATTTGCATATACTAATTATTGGGGTGAAAGAGTAGATCTAACAACTGATATTGATAGTATTTTACCTCTTTCAGAAATTCCTTTAAATCCTTGTTCCCAGATTTATAGAGTATTGTACATTAAAAATTGTAAAGAAAAGTTAAAACTAGCAAATAGTGGACGAAAAGTTCACAAAGAACATTTTATAAATATATTTGGTATGTAATATTGATTCTTTAGATATAAATTTATAATAATAGTTTTATTCTGTTGAAATAAATGCCTACAGTTTTATATGATTGTAGTTTTTTTTTATGTCCATCTAAAATGCGCGTAAGCACGATTCGCTTCACACTGCCTATGTAAATCTTGTTTCCTTTTAATAACTCGACCCTAAAATGCAAAATTTTATAAATTACAGTAAATTATTGCGAGCTTCCAGAAATATCTTAGACAAAATCTCTCAGTGCAATACAAAAGATAATTGAACGATTTAATCTGGACAAGTGTAATGAGATACAGCGAAACATAAATCTGTGCACCATTTATCTTGGTTTTCGTTCTTGCATTTGTAAGCTACTTTTTTTTATTAAAATTACTTATTTGATAGAATATTAAATTTATTTTGTAGAAGTACCTTATTATTGGAAGCATCAATAATTTCCTTTGCTAACGTATAAGAAAATGTTTGTGTAGTATCTTTTTGGCCTGCTGTTTTAATTATCCAATTCATTGACAAAAATCTAGCCCTGTTATCATTCATTGGTATTGGAACCTATAGATTTACATTATTAACTAAATAAGTTTAATTCATAAAACGAAAACAAATATATGTTCATACCTGATAAGCAATCCCACCTTTCCTTATTGTATGTAGTTGCAACATTGGTGTACAATGTTCTACAGCTCGATAAAAAACTTCTTTTGGATCCAATAAAATATTTGCCTTTTGTTCAGGGGTAGAATTATTGTATAGCTCTAATTGCATCATTTTAATATGTTCAAATGCTTTTTCTAGTATTGCTCTAGCTACTGCTTTCTTACCATCACGCATAATATAATTTATAAATTTCCTAACAACCATAAATAATAAATATTTAAATATTGGAACTTTACTTTTATTAAAAATTAAATAGCTTACTTAATACGTTCATCATGAAATTCAGATGATGTCTCAGAAGTAAGTGCTGCTCTAATAGGCATATGAGCCATTTGTCTTGCTTCTTCAGTTTCATTTAATTGCTCCTGTTCTTCTTTTTTATAAATTGGTTTTACATAATGTGATGGATATTGACTATAATTTTGAATAATATTTGTTGGTATATATCTGGAAATAACAATATATTATTAAGTAATCCTTTGTAGTCAAAATGATTGTTAACACTATTAATATGTAGATTGATTTCTGTTTTATTCACTATTTTATTGTTATATAAACTACAACTTTGACGAGAAGTATTCAAGTTATAAAATTTGTAGTCAACAAATTACCGAACGTAATAACATAACAAAATATTGAACTTGTAGGTTATGTAAAGAAGATCATAAATAACCAGGTTAAAATAAATGTGGAAGACAAGACGTGATAGACTAATATAAGTTTGCAATTTACACAGATTTCACATATATTATGTGAAATTTGTAAAATTACCTTTTAACATCTTGTAATAATATTGAATTTAGTGCTCTTGCTAGTGTCATTTTCGCACTGCGAACCCATGCACTTCAACAACAAAGCAAGTGAGAACAACAATGGCGATTTTGTTTGTCACGTCGTCACGTGATCAATGTTATATGCACGGACTTCTTAATTCATATTTTTCTTGCGTATTGTACTTAATGAAATGTTGGATTGCTAAAATGTGATTAATTTATCAATCAGAAAATTCCAATTGATTGCATACTAATTCCTAATGACATACATGTATGTCACACGTAATATGCATACATATGTATGTTGGCTTACCTAAGTTTTTCCGTGCATCTCGATCAGTATTTCTGGTATAAAAATTACTTTGACGAATTAAAAAATACATTTATTCAACACATTATGGATAATCTAAAATCTATACATTTAATTTCATCTTTAGCATTTTACATACATATACATATGCATGCATATTATTTAACAGCAATAAGTTAAGTATGCAGAAGAAAGTACGTATGTACAACCTTTTACAAGGATTGCACTTGGTAGCAGATCTATCATTTTTTCTGTACATATATATAATTATGTATGTAATTGTATGTTATGAAAATACAATTTATGTACATAATAATCTAAACTTGCCGTAAAGTCTTCCTTTTTATATGTGTATGCGTGTACATATATTGCACACAACATATACAGAATAGATTGACGTATACATACACCACTGCAGCCATCAACTATATGTGTAACTGATCACGACAGGTTTATGGTGACGTGCACTTTCATTTTTATGGTAGAAAGTTAAGTAACTATTAAATACAAGTATTTCGAGATAATAGCAGATTAGATTTCTTCTGTGCATTATTCATAAAAAATTAAAACTACACAAATGGTGCGCTTGCAGCAGAACACATATGCTACATTGTTAATATCTTGCAGAAAGGTCTCCTAAGAGAGGAGTGCCTTTAATAAGTGATTCTTTACTTATTAGTTAGGTACTAAGAGTCCTGAAAATGACTGATAATCGTGGGAATTTCTCAATCCCAACAAATCAAAGTAAGTTATAAGACTAGATGAACTGATAGTGAATATAATAGTATGTTTTGCTACATAACCTACATATTACTTTCTCTATTGATAAGAAATAATACAATGTCATTATGTATATTTGTATTATCCGATAATATCGTGATTTTCATTAATAATGTCATGATTTTTAAAAGAACTATATTGTTGATGTATAGGTTCCAGCAGATCATTTAATTCTCTACGTTTGGAGTTTGGACCTATCAATGACGTTCAGAATGAAATGTCAGGTATGATATATGCATATTGGAAAATTAATCTATGTGTGCATAAATACCTGTATTNGAATCATATATGCATTCACAATAACTTTATTATATAAAACAAATGGAAGTTTACGTAATGTATGTTTCTTGAGGATTTTGAAAATATCAATTATGTTAATACAAAAATATTTTGTTTTTTTTTTATTAAATTGAAATAGTTTTCTATA